AACATGTGGTATGTAAACCAGTGATGTTGATTACGATAACCGGTGCGTGTTTTTTTTAACACTAGAACTACCGGAAAAAAAACAATGCTACTTCTACCAAGACCAGTCGAAATGACTGGTCATTTATAATCGTAAAAACAGAAGAATTTTTTTATTGTTTTGTTTTATATTATCATATAGAATGAATATAAGGGTATGGAAATACATCTWCATGATGACMATTTTTAAAAATATAATAWTTTAATTATAATAACAACATTTTTAATGATACTAACAAGTATTAATAGAACTTTTAGAAACAAAAAGAAGAAAATAAACATACAATAAAGTAAATATAAGAAGTATTTTATTATTAAAAATGTAATAGAATCTGAAATAGAAAAAAAAAATTATTATTAATTATTTTTAATATAAAATATTAAAATGATTGTTATTTACCTGATTATGATTCGTCACATTTCTTACAAAAGTAATTTATCTTTGTAGTGCAAACATTTATTGTTTGCAAACATATTTTTTACATAAATTACAAATGACAGTAGTCTTATTATTATTGCAGAACCCTATTTGACACCATTTACGTGAAGAAGGTGAACTCGTTGATGTACTTGGAGCAGTAGTTTCTTGTTGCTTGATTTTTGATTGTACATATTYAATGGCAAGTTCATTTGCTAGTTGAAACAAGAAGTCTTGTCTAGATATTTTCTCACCTGTGGTTTCCTTATGTAAGATCCAGGCATTTATGCCAGCTAAATCTAAAATGTTATAAAATACTTGGAGCGGCCATCTTCTAGATCCGGATTTTACGCTATATTTTTTTGCCATTTGGTCTGTATAATGTCCACTCCAAATTTAGTTTTATTATAAAATTCAACCGTCTCGGGTAACTTTTTATTACTTTTACCAATTTTGATACATTTATGTTTAGAACTCAATATAAAAACTTTCTTTTTCGRTTTACTTTTGTAAATTGTAAGGGTAATATTATTTGATTTATAGAGTAGTGATGAAAAACGAGTCATAGTAT